CAAACGTTCGTCTGCCCACGAGAAAGAGCGTAAAGCGTCGCTACTCCAAAGCTCCGCAAGGCGGTGCTCACACAGAGCCGGCATCGCCATCTTAGGCCTGAAATGTCTGCACACGGCACCACGCTGCCTTGAACGCGCCTCCGACTGGTCCATTCAGAGTCCTCTTCCGCCCATGCATAAAAAGTAGTCCTGAAGTGGCAGCGTATGACGTCACCAAAAGCCGGAATGATATGTGCAATTGGATATCGCGACCCTGCTGATTGGTCATAGAAGTTCCGGCAAAAAGCACGAGCAAAAGCGAGTGCCGCTGTCGTCCCAGAGTCCCAATTGCTGGCTGTCGAAGCTTGCATGGACTGTCCAGCTGGACGGTGACCTGCAGCGGAACAGGTGTCTGCCAGATCCAGCACCGCAGCTGCGACACCACCACAATGGCGGCCAGGGACAGCATGACACTTCTACGACGGCATCAGGCGAAAATTGGGAGACCACTTTTTTGGATGTGGTCGACACACCGGCCGGCCGGTACAGAGCTCGTATTTTCGTAAATACTGCGAAGGCTGAGGCCTTCGCGAGCGCTTTGAGACGCAATTCAAGCGCCTCTCAGCTCGTGCGCTTGCTCTAGCGCTGCCTGCTAAGGCGCGGCTTTCAACGAGCCGGCCCTGATCATCAGTAAGCAGTGGGAGAGACTGCTGCGGGAAGTTTTACTGCGGCGAGAGGCCCAAAGCCGTCAAATTCCTGTCCATAGCAAAGTCATGGCGAGACGTTGGCCCAGGAACGCCTGAGAGAAACGCGAGAAATGACAGAACGAGAACGATGGGTAAAATTAAACAAAGACATCACTAAATGAATGATGTAATTTGAGTACTAAGCAAATGACGAGACAAAAAGATCCGAACTCATCCTAGTAGAGTCAAGCGATCTTCGATGAAATTTTGACCATTACGTTTCGCTTGCTCAGTTTCACGAATAAAATGGTTATTTTGGGTCAAAAACTTTATTGTGTTGACTCATCACAATTTTTACGACCAAAATACTTTAAGAGGCAGTTCGTCTGAACACATCTGAGGGTGCATTCATTTTATATCTTTCCCCGTTTTAAAAGAGCAACACTTAAGCCTGTTTCACATGCAGCGATTTTGGCCCTAAAGCGGCGCGATTTCTGCCGTCGCGGAGCTCGTGCCTCTGAATTGCTGGTGCTGGCCAGAGCGCCGCGACGGCAGAAATCGCGCCGCTCTAGGGCCAAAACCGCTGCATGTGAACTAGGCTTTAGATTTCAGCCTTTTGCTTCTTTGAAAAAGTAATGTGTGCTATATTGATAAGCAAGGAATATAGACGCTTTCAGTGCACGCCAAATTGAGCCGCCATAGCCGACCTTCCCTTGTCTTACCGAGATGCCGAGCAAGTGAAGCGGGCGTTGAGGAGTCTTCACAAGGGCCTATGCTGGGGAGAAGAGCACGATAGCATCTAAAATGGAAATTACCGGTCCTGCTGTGGCAATGATGAAGTGGAGCGAACGGAATAAGAGGAAACAAAAACTGAAGGTCGGTTATGGCGCCGCCCATGCACAGCTGCCTGAAAGCGTCTATAACTCGGGCAAACGAGCGCCTCTTTTATCCAGGCAGCTAGCCAGGCAAGCTCGACGACGATGATTTCTGGCACTGTACCTCGTGCCACCGCGCGATGAAAACAGCATCGTGTCATTTTTTTTTTTTTGCTATGTCTGTTAAGTATCTCCCGACTCCCGACAAATGGAACGACAGGAGGAGAGCTTTGTGAGCCAAGAATCTTGGAGACTATGGAAGGGCAGACCAACATGCCTCCTCCTGTCAGAATCAATTGACATCGTGTCGTTGGACGAGTTTTTATTGCTTCTTATGCCCCATAGACATCAAAAAGTGAAATAGGAATCGCAAAAAAAAAAAGAAATACAAGCAAAGAGGTGATGATAATGTTGGTCGTGCGGGTTAGTGCCATGCAAAAATAGCGATAGCGGAAAGTAATTAGGCAAGAAGAGAGGGTGCACTCATGCCCAGAGCCTTACCGGAAAAATGTGATTTCTTATAACAATTTACACTAGAAGAAACGTTGATTCTGCTCGTGCCGAAGCTTGACCAGTTTTTAATGTGATTACAGTGACGTGACCTTTTTAAAGAATGGGCTTAAAAGTAGTCCATGAGTATGTTCAGCAACACGTTTCGCTGCATTTTTTTTATTTTTATCCTTGGTTGCATTCAGCTGGGTCAGATTTTATTCCTGGTGAAAGCGGTGAGAACGAGATCCTAATTGAACAACAACGAGGGCACAAGGGCTTCTGTTGAAACACGTTAGATATGTTTATTTTACCCGAGCTTCGGGTAAAATCACAATGTTTAGGTTCCTCGGATGTTGACATGTCACAGCTTTCTGTTGGTTGAGCTGGTGAGCTTTGTCAACGAATGTTGTCTGTTCGGGAGTCCACAGCCTAATACTATTATATTGATAACTTTTCGCCCACACACTGATATCGAAAGAGATCTCACGGCCGTTGATGTGTTTGGCCTGAACCTTTCTTTACCCATGAATAATTTTCAGCGATTGGGTACAATTATAAATAACTTTTTTTTTTTTTTTTTTTTTTTTAAGAAAGCCTAGGTTGTCGATTGCTTTCTTTATGAAATAGCAGGCGCTCACAATCGAAGCTTGCGTTCAATCCCATCGCGCGTGGGGTGCAATGTCTAACACAAAATCGCTTAAGTGCGAATGACATTTCGTAGCAGTCCGACCCCCGTTTTTCGAAAAGTTTGCTCCTGCTCCTTGCCTGAGTGATGCAAGACCGGATTAAATTCTGGCGCATGACCAATTCTCTCGGTGCAGCGGGTTCATGCATGCGTGGAATGCTGCGGCGAAACAAGTCGCTCTACGCTGTGAGTGAGCACGCGTGAGCACGAGGGTAGTGAATTAAGCGATCTCGTTATAACCTATCAAGGAGTACCATATCCCCGCAGGCTTCGCTTGCGCAGTCGGCGGTGGGCGGAGAGATCGACATCACTAGTGCTCTTTGTCCTCCTAGTTTCGGTTTGAAGACGTGATATTTCTAGCCTCATAACGCCGACAGCGAATTTCCAGATCGAAATTTCAAGAGACGATTAGACCGTATTGGGAACGTGCGGCACATAGGACGTGCCTCGCTTGTGCTTGGCAGCCTTGGTCGCCAGGGAGTTTGTGCAATGGGCGGAGCAAAGGCCACCGCCAGCGCCGAATATTCCCCCGCGGTTAGAGCATAAACTAAAAGTGCGGCACAGCGTCGACCAATCAGCAAACTGCGACGTCAGAATGTTGGAAACGGCATTCAAAGCGTGAAATAAAAGCTTTCAATCTCGGCGTCTCGGTGATAATGATTTCAAAAGCGAATCAGCAGCAATGATTGCAACTACGCCGTTTGCTCTGGTTTGGAGCGCACGTTGAATATGGACGTGACGAAAACCTCACATGCGTCAAGTTCTTAGCCACCGAGAGTTATACGTTCTTACTCGACGCTAAAATGGCTTAAATTAGTCGAGTAGCATTTTTAGAGCACAAGACCACCACTGGGGGCTGTTTCGCGGCCTGTGGTTGGCCACGAGATGCTAGCGTATTCAAACCAATGAATGGCCAAACTCTCTCAATACACAGCTCCGTTGGTAGCTGGTTCGCAGCACCATCATTGACATCGCGCCCACGTTACTTCGCATAGTGAAGAGCTGCTCCCTCCGACAAATATTCGAATGCATCCGTAGTGTCTTGGGCGCGTCCGCGCCGTCCCGCGGCCGTTTTTCTCGATTTCACTCCGGAGTAAAGGTTTGGCACCTTTACATTCAAAATCAACTCGCGTCCAGCGTTGCTCTGAATGGGTTTTCCGTCATTCGACCCGCAGGAGTTGTCTGGAGCCGGGGTTCAATCGTGTGTCCCGCAGTTGTAAGCGGCAACAATGGCAACACACCGCCATAACGATGATAATCCCTGGAGAAGGGCAACAAAGAAGGCAAAGGTGTTTCCCCTTTGACCCCTTTGTTCCCTTTTTCCAAAGATTATCATCGTTATTCTGGTATAGCGCGCTTGTACTTTTAAATTAATTGCCTTATCATTAAACCGCCAAGTTCTTTTTTTTTTTTTGTTTATCTGCACTCGAAGATGCCTCTACGAAACGTCTGTGCGTTGAACGTCAGGAAATCACTACGGGACGACATTTGCCAGTGCCAGTGATTGATCAAATCTACGTGAGAAGTATTTTTCCTTCCCCTTATTAATCAGATTGATCTCCGTTCGCTGGCGGATCAAGTAGGCACACTAGGATTGAGATAATCGCGGCGCTTTTCGCATGCTCACGAAAGTCACATATGTTCTCAATTTTTAGGTCTCGTGTAAAATATTTTAATACTTCGTCTCATCCTACGATGAACTAAAGGCCAAAACCCTGGGCCGTCAGGTCGAATCACGTTCCGCATTAAACTACGGCATGCTTAGCATTGATTAGGTTGGACGAATAATGCTCCTAACCCACAAGCACTGCGTCATTTCTATAGCTTCGACACTACAAAGAGCCTGTATGTCGTGGCTTTTTTTGCCATGTAACTTGATGAGATGAGTCACTCGGCGCTGTGCTATTCAATTCGAACCACTGTCCGCCCATTCCCATCAGTGCATGATCGGAGACGCGGGCACCGATGTGTGCATCGAAGCGAAATACCACGCAGTTTCTAAGTGGCTCGGGATTGGATCTGGCGGACCGTAGCTTTTGCCTTTAGTCCGTCATAGGGTGATGCGAATTACAGCACTGACTGTTGCCACGAACGTTTTGCATGCTCAGGTGAGCTGGCATCGATCAGAAAGGTTGGCTGCTACACAAAACGCCTATATGCCAGCTCGGCCATTGCGTATGCGAAATATTTCTGAAATGATCCTGTACTGTGGCACCACTGCCTTGTATCACGCTTTCAATCTAGGTACAGCGTCAATTTCCCAAATACATAATGTCTACTCACGAGAGGTATAAATATCATGCAGCTCTCTCTGGAAGAAACGATTCACGTACGGGACCCTCTTCAAGCGGTCAGGATAGGCTCTGGAGTGAAAGTCGCGCCTGTACTTTTCTATCAGGTGACCGTAGTTCATGGTGGTAGAAGGGGTCTTGTTGAAGGACTCCTGCGCACACAAGAAACCATGAGAAATCAAAAGCGTGTTTGACCAGGCGGTTCGACGTCCATAAAACAGCGCAAAACAGAGTGCCGAAACTGGTCCGTGGACTTAATCCCCGAGCTTTCTCGAACTGGCATCCCGGTATCCACTTTAAAGTTAGCATGCTGCCCTTCCCTCTCATCTCTTTTTACAATCGTTTTTATTTTAGTTGTAGTTCTGCTCTTTGGTATGCTGTCTCTGTACGCTCAGAGGAACCGCTGAGAGTCAGTAAACATCCTAGTTTTCTGTGGCCCTTCCGTGTGCTCTTGTATATCTATGGTTGCTTCTAGGATTGCTCTGAGCTGCACAGAATAATTCTTTGGTAGTGGCGTGGTGTTTTAGAGCGCAGCTCTTAAGCGCCCGTTTCCGGCTTGAGGGGCGTCGCCGTCGCCGTCGGCGTGAGCGCGCTTTGCAGTATGGGAAACGTCCCATATAATGCAACCAGCTGGTCTCACTCGTGACCTGCGCGTTGCATTTTGGGGTGTTTCCAGATGACGTCACGCGTGACGTCACGTGGTTCACGAGTGACGTCACGAGGGTACCGCGCGTTGCATCGTGGGACGTGTTTTTATTGTAATGACGTCACACGTGACGTCACGCGTGATGTCACGACGGTCACTTGTTGAGATCCCGACGAAGGTCACGACCTTCATGGTGAAGGTCAAGACATTCACAGTGAAGGTCACGACCTTCACGAGTGATGTCTTTAGGGTTACTAGGGTCACGAGAGTGGAGGGAGGAGGAGGAGAGGGAGGGAGGGGGAGAAGAATGAGAGGAGGAAGAGGGAGCAGGGGGAAGAGGGTGGTGGAAGAGAAGGTACGGAGGAGAAGGAGGGGTATATCCTCCTCTCCGTACCATCCCCTCCTCCTCCTCAAGAGCTGCGCTCTAATTCGGCACTACAGAGAGTAGTAAACGTCTTTCATTCTTTTTAAGTTCACCCAAGCAGCGGCCGTAGCCCATGTATATCTCACCTTGTCCTCGTGTGCGTGTTCTTCGCACCCTTAAAAGCGTTTTGTCGCACCCGCGCTCTGCGCCACATAATTGTGTGCCTTGAGTATGAACCCATCATAGATGATACTTTTATCTTGCCACGGTGCCTTTTGGTACTCTAAAAAAATTTATTGGTGGCGGGCAGTTGATGATATTTAAAATTTCCTGTTTTCTGAGTTTACTTTTCGTGAAATACGGAGGGTGTTTTCAGGAGTTTATTTTCCCCTGAATATTTGGTGTTTATCGGAGTTCATTTTAGTTAGATTCCCAATTATTTAAACTCGGAGTTTATTTAATTGTAATACAAATTTTGAAAATTTAGAAATAATATAAATAAGTTCTGGGTATTCTGACTGTTTGTCTTGAAGGAACCTTGACGAGCTAAAAGGCAAACCCCTTCTGTCAGTAGTTCAAGATGTTAAAGGAAACTATAGTGGCCTGTCCCCAGGACCACTGACCCTCTGCTTCTACACAATTTATTTGTAAAACACCGTCTTTTTTGAAGTTGTGACCTTGAAATTTTGAGTTTTTTCGTATAAATCTGAATTGACAGAAAAGTTACCTGAATCTGTTTTTCAGTATTTTTTCAAATATATTCGAAGGCACGGAACTCTAATCATATTGTATGAGACGAGTATCTATGCACAAATGTTCTTATTGCACCCAATGTCAGTGAGGTATTTGTGTATTAGGTTTGTATTATACGCTCCCAACTGCTTTAGGTTTAGACCGGCAGAAGTATTAGTATTAAGAGACAGGATAACTGGGGTAGTTGGTTTTGGTTCAACATGAAACAACGCGAATGTTACACGGACAGAGGAAAGAAGTGGACAATACAAGCGCTGGCTAACAACTGAGAGCTTATTTTGGATAAACCGCGAGACGTTCAGAATCACATGACGGTCTTATCATGATGGAATGGCGCCTTCGCATCACAGAACTGGGTGCTATCAGTTATACAGTTCCATGGGCGATCTTCCCCGATCTAAAAATTCTACCTCGCTGTCCATTATTGCAAGGGAAGTCAGACTGACCCAGGTTGAGCATTCCTTTTTTATTCTGTGAGCTACATTCTCCTGAGCCTTTTGGTCCTTATGTTTATACAAGACGATGGCACTTTCTAGTAAAGGCGTGTATGCGCAGTCACGGCGGTGCAATGCCAAACGTGAGCACGTGGTACCTGTAAACAAATTACGGTTCTTCCTTAGGTGACTAAAACATAGGAAAATAATTACAGGAGTACGTTTAAGCTGCGCTTTTAAGAGTGGAACGCGATAGCTAAACATATAAACAGCTCCCGTTCACAAGCCGTGCAAGCGTGTCTGCGTAACCAGGCAATAAAAAAAGTGTCTGCCCCGTGGCCTGCTTGGTGGCTTCTTTTTCAGGCACTCGAAGTGAGCGGACTGGCGAATCATGAGCACCTCCGGAGCGGTGATAGCAACCCGACCAGGTCGCGGTGATAAGCATGACGCTGACATATTAGCCTATCAGATAATCCTGCCTCCACTGCCGACTAAATCTGCGGTGTTGAACACCGTTTTCCTGCATGCTGGCGTCCGTGCGCGCCTGACTGAGATCGAGAGAGCTATTGACGGACTTCTGGCAAAATAATCTCCAAGTCTTGTTGGCTTGACTGTAGCTTTTTATACGAACTACAAACATGTCACCACCAAGCACCTTCACACAGTTATAAATGAGGTACACGAGATAAAGAAATTACAACCATCATTCCTGAACACACATACGGTAATTATCCACAAGGAGGACAACCAATATAAGTAAAAATATGAAGAATTACAGGCCAATAGCACTTGGTAAAGTCGACTATAAAGTACTAATGAAAGGTTTAGCCCGTCGATTGCAAAACGTCATAAGTGAAATCGTAGGGGACCACCAGACATGCGGTATTAAAGGAAGGTCCATTTTAACAAATAATCACGTCGCGAGGAGTATACTAGAGCTTTGCGATGAATATCTAGATCAGGTTGCCATGCTCAAAATTGATCTAGAGAAGGCCTTTGACCGCGTGCAGACTCAGGTACTTTACAAAATATTAGAGTATGTACGAGTAGGTGAACTTCTAATCAGCTTCGTTCAAATAACATATACCGGGCGCACTACACAGCTTACAAATAACGGTACGCCAACCACTCGTATTAGTGTTAACTCATCGGTTAAACAAGGATGCCCTTTTTAGACATTGTTATTTAGCATTTATTTAGAGCCATTTTGTAGAAATGCAATAAAAATAGTAATATCAGTGGGATTTCCCTTCATAATATAATAGGTCAAACTTCTGTCGTATGCAGACGGATGTTGCTGTATTTTGTAAAGATAAGAGTAGTATTGCCTAAGCTGCGCAGAGGTGCGATCGTTTCGTGAACTGACGGGAGCGCCAGTTACCTGGCAGAAATGTTGTGACCTTGGGCACTGTACATGGGCCAGGAAACCCGACGTTTTTCAGTATATAAATTATATGTCCACGCCGCCCAAGTATCTGGGAGTTTCGTTACAGCATTACACAATATCTAACGCCAGTTTGTCGACGGTAGTTAAGGGAACGAACGAAAAGGCTGGCAAATGAGTAGGGTGGGAGATGTCTATTTTTACACGCGCCACTGTTTAAAAAGTTTTGATATCTAAATTTCGGTACGTTCTCCAAGTTTAGTCACGCGCTCGAGTAGACTTGCAAAAATTTTCCTGTGTTCACCTGGCGGTCCGGATGGGAAAGAGTAGTCGCAAAACTCTGTTTCGTCACGCGAGTGAAGCAAGGTTTTCATTATCACACGTGTTCATCGAGCAAATAGTTTTGCATTTTATGTTCCTTAGAGACCAAAGTAATTCTTTTCTTCGCGCTTTCATCCAGACAGGACTTCAAGATGAAATTCATTTTTTTGTTTCTTCGTTTTAGCACCAACAGTGCAGAATTACCGTATTTTTTGGGCCATAGTCCGCAGACTATACATGTTTAAAAGTTGAAATATTTAGGCTGTGCAGACTATCTACGCGTGCGAATTATACAGGAATTTAGTTTTTCAAGATCGTTCATTATGACGATACGTGTTTTGAAGGTGTGTCGTGTATGGGAAGATTTTCGTGTCGACTAAGCACCAGGAGCGGAATACGCACGGCGTGCGGACTATGCACCGGGCGCAGGCCATATAAGCAAAAACTTTTTTTCGGCCTAACTTGGCTTTTGCGGACTATACACAGGGTGCGGACAATAGCCCGGAAAATACGGCAGTAGTTTTCTGAGCGAAGTGGTAGACGCGTGTCGTTTTTCGTCTGTCCGTTTCTGTATATAATATTTGCCAGCTGTCACGCGGAAGCGTTTATCGCGTGACATTATTGAATGTGTTTTTTCCGAACCGGTATACCATTCTATGTTTCATGCAGGCCCTGCACAGCACGTTTTGTGCAGGGTTAAAAAATGGCCATCCAGCTTTCCATAAAAACATTTTTCTTTCAACTGCAAACAAACACGCTTTCAGTAAAAACTTGGTTCGATCAGAAAAAGAAAAATATTTCTTGACCCTGGGGTGTTTACTGCTTTCTGTGAAAAGAGCCTGAAACATTGAAACATATATTTTGAGACTACAGGGATGCCTGTTTTTTGTGATGTTCTCCAGCGAACTCTTAAAAAAGACTTTGCTTTAACACCACACGGCATCCGGTTCCTCTCTTTAGAAAAACATGATAATATGCTCTACTGAAAAAAACCATTTGGCGCCTATATGAAAATAAACGGGTCCATACCGGTAACAGTTTAACCATACCGGTCACCAGTTTGTCAAAGGGGTCGCCCGTGTGGCTCAAAGGGGTCCCCCGTATGAGCCATAACGGTCACCTATTTGGACAAACAGGTCACTCCTTTGGCAAACGGGTCGCTCGTCTGGGCAAATGGGTCGCTCGTCTGGGCAAATGGGCGACTCGTTTGGGCAAAGTTG